GTGACTCCCAAGCTAGGCGAGTGGCTCCAGCAGATCCCGGGAACAACATCGGACATCTCTGTCCAGAAGAGCACAGTCCTAGGAACGATACTGTGCAGGTCCCTCAAGCTCCCAAGCCTCTGGTAGAGGACCCGATCTTGAAGGATTGACCGCCCGCAGGGGCGAGCGGGGAATTTTTTCTTTTTTTTTTATAAAAACAATATTATGACTTTAAACACTTTATTCCACATGGTTAAGTATTGTAGAGTAGGTTAGATATAGGCAGGGACACCCAGGCAACATTAGACAATAGACAGCTAGAGAGACCCCTCTCTGGTCCTTCAGGAAGAGGGGGCCTCCCTGGGAGGGCGTTTTACAAGTAAAATTATTTACGACTTTTAAATAACACTAGAGCCCCTCAGAAACTGCAATAATTTGAATGTTGCTCAGTAGGAATTACCTGGTCTGAATATGGAAGTTATTAGTAGTCCCTGTATGCTCATAGTCATGGATGGCAGCTGCAAAAATAATGGCAAAGATCTCCAGCTCAGTTAGCCAGTGCTGAAAGAAAGTGAGATGATGCATTTTGTATGTAGTAACAAACAAACAAGCAATAAATATGAATATAATATTGCTTTACACAATTGTTAATATAAAAAAAATTCAATAGCCACTTAAATCTAAGGCTTCATGAGTTCTGTGTTTAGAATTGCTTTAAAAGTATACTGGTCTTTCTTGAACTGCAAGATTAATGGACTCCCCAAAGACAAACCTAAAGAATGATCAAAATCTGTACAAAAAAGACAAAGGTATACCGACTATTGGATTGCAGCAGTGTTTCCCCTTTAATGTTTTATCAGGATGTGGGGTAGTTTTAAGGTTTTAAATGTTGTGGCTTGCTAGCAGGTCATAACAGTAAAGAAAAAAAAGAGTCCATTACTTCAAGATATGAAAAAGTCTCTCTTTGAGAACTCGAAAGAAGCAAAGCAGTTTTCCTGGTTACATTTTAAATCACCATTAACCAAGCAAGACTTACCATTATTCCACTCTTAATGAGCAGGTAATGGACCGTTTGTGTGACATCAGCAGCATGTATCAAGTTGTGGTAGGGGTTTTTGTATTTGCTGTATCCCATTTCCAGTGACTCCACAAATGATGTGAGTGCAGAGGTAGGAATCTGATATTGAGACAATGCAGGAGAGAAGCATGATGACTGCAAAATTAAGTCGTATATGATTACATCACTTTAAAAGATAACGCCACATAAAAAACAAAACAAAAAGTCATTTATAGTCTGTATGGGAAATTTTTTCACAAGGTTATTAAAGTATTGCACTTCTTAAACAAAACTGCAGACCTTGTTGTTTTAGAATTAGAAATTCCCTTTAAAACTTAAAATAATATGAGGGTCAATCATTTAAATGATATATGGAAGCTGTCTTTATTTGAGTTTACCTTGAAACGATTAATCAGGTTATATCTGTTGAGCAGTTCAAAGAAGACAATTTTCAGAGCATGGTTTCCGCTGGCATCATTCAGTGCAAACACATCAAACGACCACATATCTACATGCTACAGACACATAGAAACCAGTTTTATTATCATTTGAATAACATAAACGAGTGTGTCCTTGTGTACCTTGTCTTACCTAAGTCATACACAAAATGGCAGCTTTTGTTCCTGCATATTAGTATGGTAGATAGAAAACTTTTTCCCTGGCCTTAATCTGTTAACTCTCTATTGTATAACTTGCTCATGACATTTTAATACTGAGATTAAAACTGAATGCAGACTCACATACATGTCACTGATTTTATTTTTAAAGAAATCACCAAGTACATGTGCATTTATACCTTAAGCATAGTGATGACATTTAGGGAATAACTGAGACCAGTCATGTTGGAGGTTCGTCTGAACATCCTGTAACCCACAGACAAAAGTACACAGCAACACAAGCACACACCAAATGAACAAATGCACTATGCCCAGTATGGTAACTCATTTATTAATTTGAATATGTTACATTTATTTTGGAGAAGGAATAATCAGAGGCAATATTATTTTAAAAAAAATCCATCCCCAAAATAGAAGATCCCCAGAGTTTTGAAGCAGTACTGCAATATTAGGCCAAATAATAAAGAAAGATTAACTTTTGTTTATTCTAAATTGTTATTCAGTCTAAGGGGAAAATAAATCTATTCTATTAAAACCTTGTCAACCTCAATTTTTTTTACCATTCCATTTTCTATATTGATAAAGTAATGTTTATATTTCTGGCATTACTTCTATAATCTGCGTAATTTATTTTGAGAATAATATGTGTTGTACTGAGTGGTTCGGATTGGCTCCCAAGCCATTCTAATATAATATCTGTTGACCTGAGTTGCGGCCATAATATGCTATTCAAAGGTAAAGGGGTAATTCAAAGCTATTACTAGGTACTAAATAGATTTTCTCTGATCACTCCAGTATCCCAAGAGCTCAGAGACAAGTTGTTAGGTTAACTGCTGATTCTTAATTAACTTTTGGGATGTAAGATAGCTGAAGAACATCAAGATAGATTTAAGATTAATTCTAATTGGTGGATGTGACTGGTAGTGCAACAAGTGTTCATCAAGTCTAGAGAAATGATATATATGCCAGTCCATTTCTATTGTTTGTGTCTTATCCATGGAAACAAAATGATGCATCTCGGGGCCTTATCCAAATTATTCACTGTATTTTAATCAAAACCATTACAAGAAAAAAGTACCATTTGGCCGAACTTCTCAACATATGTTTTAGTTACAGAAATGTGTGATGCTTTTTTTTTTCAAATAAATAGACAAGAAAATAGAAAAACAAATGTACACACTTTTTATTGCTACCTAGGCTTCTGTTCTGTTACTATGCTGACTTGTTAAACTGACTTGTATTTTTTATAGCTGTCTTAAGCCAAACCTCTCCACAAAGATCCCAGCCTGTACTGCACGGACGATGCTGCGGAAGTGTGGTTTGTCTTCACTGTGGTGCAGCAACAGGGTTCTCTGCCGTGTAAAAGTGGAGGCCAACCAGTCACGAACCTCCAGTGGTACAGAGTCTGACTGGATATCACTCAGCTCATCATCTTGGTGCCCCAGTTGTCTGCAAGACCATTCACAAAAACACTGAATGTACATTTTCATCTTCTAAAATAATTAATCTATCATCCTCATCTTAAATGAATCAAGCCAAGCCAAGTTTAATTAAAACAGCACTTTAAAATGGCAAGTTGTGACCAAAGAGCTTCACATTAAGGAGAAAATAAAATAAAATAAAATAAAATATTTGTAGAGAAACCTGTGAGTGACAATGCTCAGGACTTTTTATGAGTATGCTGTGGCCAGTGATAGATGTAGCCATACCAAATGACAAACACATCAGAAAGAAGGAACATGAGAAGCTGGAAAAGTACCAAGGGCTCAGAGAAGAACTCAAGAAGATGTGGAGGGTGAAGGTAACAGTGGTCCCTGTGGTAATTTGAGCATTTGGTGCACTGACCCTAAAGCTAGGTGACTGACTCCAGCAAATCCCAGGAACAAAATCCTAAATCTTTGTCCAGAAGAGCACACTCCAAGGAACAGCAAAGATACTGCGCAGGACCCTCAAGCTCCCAGGCCTCATAATATGTTTGGCATAGCGCAACATATAAAAAAGTTTTATTGCATTGTGAGTATTACATTGTCTTATTGAAATACTGACTATTTTATTTTTCCACCACTGATTAAAGTCTATACATGGGGAAATTAGCTAAAAGCTCCTTACCTGTTTTCCTCAGGACAGAGAGATTCAAGGAGACAGGCGGCAAACTCCAGGTTTTTCTTCAGTTCCACCACAGATGCTTCTCCCTTCTCCAGCTGTTTAACAAGACACCGTAACCTAGAACAAATAGCCCATATCTCAGTATCACCTCAAAACTGTTAACACACCATGTGCTTGAGATCTTAACTCTCCCGGAGAACAAATCACTTATTGCCAAAACCAAATGGGAGAAAGGTCTGGAGTATTCCTTTGAGGATAGTGCTGGGTTAACCTTCCAAACCTCCCAAAAATGATGTGGGCTTTATAGATAATTGAGAAATTTTGAGAAAACCTTGGTCTTGTTAGGATAAGTGGCATCCATTTCAGTTTGAATGTAGCAGCTCTCATCTGCAGAAATCTGGCCAAATTTATAAATAATCTCTGGTTCTCTTCCACAGTATGTCTTTTGTCTTGTCTCCCTCCCCTTACTCCCATTTGGTCGCAGCAAAGGGCTGCCGCTCCCTGAACCTGGTTCAGCATTTTCTCGTGCACAGGGTCTATTGTCTTGATGTGAGCTTTCTACTCAGGGTTTTTTCTTGCAGTTCAGAGCAGAAATGTTTCTGTTAAGAAAATGACGCTTGTTAATTATAAGCTAAATATATTTCTACTAATGTAATTAGTTTGCTAACAGCAACAGGGATGAGTCAGTGAAAATTTTACTCTTTTTTTTGGAATAGTGTGTGTGTGTGTGTGTGTGTGTGTGTGTGTGTGTGTGTGTGTGTGTGTGTGTGTGTGTGTGTGTGTGTGTGTTTCGATAACGTGAACCACAGTATTGTTTCGAAGTCTCACCTTGCTGGTTTACTGTACTTCTGATGTTGACTCTGCATTGCTACCCCGGAGTGGCGTTATCTTGAACAGCACTTAGAATCACCATACTGGTTACACTAATATTATCAGCTACAGATGTTAGTGTGCAGAGAGGTGGTGGCAATGGTTAATGTCCTTACCCTCCAGATGTTCATAATAGGTTAGGCAGCACACAGATCAGCAATATACCCTCTTATAACACGTAAGAACTGCATGCACATATTGATTGAAGAGACATCTCTGTCAATATTCCCTCTAAGCTGCGCACGTGCGCAATCTCTCCCGTATTGGATTAGAACGATGCCACCTTATCCCATAGTCCTGCCAATAATGCGATTCACATTCGTATATACGCAGCTAATCAACGTCGCTGACAGGCTATGACAGCGTCCTTATGTGCCGACAGCGGTGTTTTAGCTAGCAAAGAATGGCTGATTTGGAGTGAAGCCACGTTAATGACAACGTGGACAACCATGGAGATGTGAGCAGGACAGACGGAACAATTTATGGAAAAAGTGTGGACTTTATACCAGTTTTTAAATTGTGTTGATCGGCCACGTGAAACCAGAGTTATGATAAAAATATCTGCAGTGTTTGGTTTTCTTCCTGAATACTGTCGTTGTTTATATTTACTGCGGGAAGAAACGGTAAAAACGGCGTTTTATAAGAAAAAAGGCTCGAAAGCGCTCTCCACCTGTGAGCAAAAACAAACTCCACCCCCCTCTCCCTTTCCTATTCGTCCAAAAAGGTACCATGTCGACCAATCAAAAAATGATATGGCAACGTGGCATCTAGTTGTTAAGAAACGGGGGGAAGTTTTGGGAGTGACGGCAGTGCCTTGAGATGTGAGAGATTTGAGACGTTTAGCGCAAATCTTGTGTCGTTAGTGTGTAGTGTAGTTCTGTTGTGTGTGTCAGAACAATGAGGCGACTGCTGAATGTTACAGGTATTACAGGAGTGATACATCTCCTGTTGTCAGGCCTGCAGGTATTAGGCTGTTGTTCTCCTTTATCTCATAGTGGACAGGGTTTCCATTTAACGCTAAGTTCCTTACAAAGACACATTTTCAAAGAAGGGAAGTATTTTTATAATCCAACCATATCTGAGCAAGAACATGAAAACACACATGAGAATCCACAGAGAGACAGAGGTTAATATTAACTATTGACTGAATGCTTTGTGCTGCATAAAGAAATGGTGAGTGAAAAAAGTTGAAGGAGAGCCACAACTGAGCCAGCAGTCTGAGTAAAGATCTACATCACCATCATTTATCTATTTATCTAAAAACATTTCCGGCATGATGGCGCCTGTGTTTGGCTTTGCCGCTGTCGGGTGTAGCTGTTTTCGCTCTATTGTTGTGTTTTTTCTCTCTACTCTGCTGTTTTTTAACTGTTTTAATGATGTTCTGGCTGCCTTGGTCTACGACCGTCTGACGCTATTATCCATCCGTTCGTCAATGACGGCCAAAGATGTTTTTTCCTTTTCCATTTGTGGGACTTTCCATTCTCCACTCTTTTTCCCGCATTCCTCTGGTACCTTCCACCCTCTGCCTGTGACTGAATCTTCGGCCAGCGCTTTCAGCGTTCCCCGTAGACTACGGAGAAGAAGAGGAAAGAGATC